TACTGTATATATATATATTATTTCGTCTCCTTTTATTGTCTCTCTCTCTCTCTCTCTCTCTCTCTCTCTCTCTCCTCGTCTCGCTACGCTCATTTACTTACCCTTCCCCTGCATCTCCTCTCACGCCTTTTTTCTTATATTTTAACGGACTTTCTGTTTACAACGCTTATAGTCGGTCCGCCATTTTTTATACGTTTTAAATCTGGCTTGAATCGCGTGCTCGTTTGTTTCGTGTGGTGTATAGTTGAAGTTTGAATAATGTTTGGTAGAAGTTACGTACAGTGACTTACGAAAGTATTTGAACACTTTCCACCGGGAATTTTATGAATGTGCAGATTCTCTCCTTGAATAAGAACGCAGGATGAATATCATCATTTTTCGTTCTCCACGTGTGACGAAATATTGGTATCTTAAAAATATTGATCTCAACACTTTTTATTTTACATTTTAGCGTGTAAATTTTTCGTAGGAAATGCGTGATGTGACGTATTTAAATATATTTTAAAATGTTACGTCTATTGAATTTATATGGTTTTAAAAAGTTTGAAATCTATATCTAAAAAGTATATAGGGATTATTGCATTTTGTAAAATAAAATTGTAAAAAAATATTTGGACAATTAATCGTGATTATATTAATAACGATTAATATTAATTATAATTTTTTTTTGTATTTTATTCATAAAAGTTTCTTTCGAGACACTGTACGTATATTTTCAAGAAGATTTCAATATGGGATGAGGTGATATCTCGTAGACTGTTCGTTTATATTGAGGTGTTATTTGAATTTATCTCATATCGATGGCTTATTGTACAAATATTGTATATTCATTTTTAATATTTTCGAGGAAAACAGTTTGAGAAATTCAATAGTTATAATTAAATACATAGATTTTACACGAATTTATTATTTTGTACATGTAGTATGTAATGTAATATTGTGAATATTTTCTAATATGTATATATATTAGATTCGAATATTAAAATAAAATAAAATAAAAAATCTTTTAAAATTAAAACTTTTATTTTATTAAAAAAATTATTAAATAAAAAACACATGTCACGCACAAATTTTAATTATAAAATTTAAAATTTAATTTTAAATAGATTACAGATTGTAATTTGTAAGAATACAATAAAAGAAGAAAGTTTTTACTGTGCAATGGCATGCAACGTTTGTCCGACGAAAATAATGGATACAATAAACTAAAATATTATTTCAAACGAATTTTTAATATATAAATTTAATTTGTATAAAAAAAGAATAAAAAAAAATATATATAAATTTCATAAATGTAAATGTTACAAAATTTGCACAGTAAGTTCTCGATATAAAGTTTTTGAACATATTCCAAATATATGTATACAAATAGAAGGCAGAACCTTTCAAAGATGCAAGTCGATATCATTTCTGTTTTTCATCGAAAATGTAGCATGTTTCTGGTACATGTGTAAACCAATATCTAATAATAGTGTTTATTATCAGCTTTCAGAAAGCAAAGCCATACCAATGCAATCTCTGTAATGGTTTTAACTGTTTCACACTGTCGATCGATCATAATCCATTAATTTGTCCATTGAAAATGAATGAGACGATTTTTTCTTTATGATAGAGGAAAAAAGAAGAAATTTCGAAACTTTGAAAGTTTCTGTTCCATTTTTGTGATTCTAAACTCATGAAATCCAATTAAATGATAATTTACATACATTTGCAATTTACAATGCAACTTTCATTTAATTAATAATAATCCTATTGATTTTAGACTTTAAATTTACATTAATTTACTGTAATCCATTATAATTATTTCAACATAAAAATTTAATCCTTTGCAAGTGAGAAGAATAATTATTTTTCCGAAAAATTTTTTGAAAAATTTAAAATTGTTAAGATATTAGTTTCTAATAAAATAATAGATTAAAAAGAAAAATAATCATTTTGAAAATATTATTATTATTATTATTATTATAATATTATTTATTTTTACAGCAATACTTTTTATTCATCTCTGAAAACATTGATCAAATTTATACTTATTATTTTTATTATATTAATTCGGCAACAATTAAAAAATCGATTCGTATTGATTCCTTTCTCGATTATACATATATATATATATATCCTTTGCTCTATCGCGATTATTCAAATCCTCAATGGACGATTCATCTTCATTCTGGCACGTGGTAGGTAACTCGTGGTTTTTATATTTGGCAACCTCTCATCCCCTACTTCTCTCGATCTCTTTACATTTCTCTCTCTGTCTCGCCCTCTGGACGAGACATTAGAAGACGACCTGTAGCATTTCTATCTACCGATGCCAACCACGCCGCTTCTTCTTCCATGAATGTGACAATTAGAGGCGTTGGAAAAGTGGCTTCGAATGAAATTTCTTTAAGAAGCTGCTAATTTTACATATTACGTTCCTTCCATTCTCGACTCGTCTTGAATATTTCTATATTTCAACTGTAGAAGTGTTTTGTAAGTGTTTATGCAATTGCATGACAATGGATTTGTTGGATCATCCTATAAGTGTAGTAAAATCTCTATTATAGATGACTAATAGAGAGACAAGGTTGTCAAAGGATAAGAGAATTTTCGGATAATGGAATAGCTTTTTCTTAGGTGAATTATTCTATATTTTGGGGAAAATAATATGTGAAATATTGCAAATAATTTTCAAAATATTTTCATTTCAATAGTTAATACCATATGTATTTTTTGAATTTCAAATTTCATTTCTATTGTTGTGATAGAAAAAAATGTCTATTTAAATTGTTGTGAAAAGAGGAAGTTGTTAGATGTTAGAATATTTGAACAATTGAGGTACATTTTTAATTTCAAAAAATTTCTTTAATTTTTTAGTTAGAAAATGGTAAATGATAATGTACATTGTTTAATTTTTATTGCTTTTAATTTATATGATAAGCATTAAAATGATTCTTTGTAACTGCAATTAGATAGATTTTAAAAATTATAGAGTATTCTAATATTTCTAATTTTGATTTTTACACAAATAATAGTACATATTCTATACTTTGAGGGATTAAAAAACTTTTAATATATAGAATAATATATCAAATTGTTTTTAACATGAAGAAAATACTGTTTAAAGATAGTAACATATGACTCAGTTATCAATGAATTAATTTTTTTTAAAATGTTTTAATTTAAAGTAAAGTAAATAAATGTTTCAAATTTTTTAGAAAAAACATGAAATTATTATATTTTTACAAGATAAATTATTGTAATAACATTTGCTGAAAATATTATACAGAGAGACAATTAATTAATGCATTTTTATTATGAAAAATTCTAAGAAAGAACGTTTAATTAGAGAATAGCAAAATAAAGATCTAATTGCTAGAAATAGAAAATTAGAAAATTTAAAATATTCAATGAATGTAATATAGATTCAATTTTAATAGTTCGATTAATATTTATTTCATTTCTTAATAATTTAAAACTGCAATAAAAATTATAACCAATTAATTACAAATTATAATACCTTTTTTACCTTCAGAATTATTCAGAAACATTCTTAGAAGTTATCGCTAAATATTCATTAACTGATTCGTTTATTCTGTATATGGGAAAAATCTCATTTACACAAGTAAATAAATGTGATTAATACAATTGTAAGAAATCCACATAAAAATGTGGATTTTATATGTATCGTAAAATCTTTACATTACAAGTATGCGATTAGGAAAAAGCACGCGTTTACGAACATATAATACGAAGCATGAAATAAAAACACGTAACACGAACGACCATTCGAAATATTTGTATTCTTGCTTCGCTCTTCGTTTTCTCTCTCCTTTTCTTCCCAACAATTCGAAGGATTGATTTACCGCGAGACGTATTAGCTTATAAGCTGGCCTGTGCCGCGTTTTGGAAGGACGATCAGTTTTAATTCGTTTAATGGTCCCGCAGATGGCAGTCGAACGGGGAAGACGAGCAAGTGGCAACGTCGCAATTAGTTGGAATTAAACGTCCGCGCGGAAATGTCGATCGGGATCGGGAGGTGGATGAAAGTCGAGATCGAGCTTGTGCGTGACCACGTATCTTCATCGTGGAGAACAACGACCGTGTGGCTGGCTTGAGGCCAATACAAGTCTAGTTTAACGGAGTGAACGTGAAAATCAGGTGGATAGTGGTGGTGGTGGACTCGAGGAGGGAGAGTAGAAGGCGAACAGGAAAGAAGGACGGAAGGAAGGAAGGAAGGAAGGAAGGAAGACTTGGTGGACGACAAAGACGCTTTCCTAGTGAATTTATTCGTGGTTTTGATTATATTCTCTGTGTACAAGATGCGCTCGCGACGTCGTGACGGCGGCTGAAGGAAGAAGAAAACGAGCGGCTCGTATAGCCCTCGATTCCACGTGTCGACCCGTCCTTTTATTCTTTTCTTTTCCAACATCGACGAGAAAGCGTACTGCGCAGTCATCCCGTCCTCGCTTATCTCCTCGAAGTTTACCGATTCGCCGCGAGAAACAGGTGAGGATCATAACTGGAAATTTGTTTTCATATATATATAAATATATAATGTCTTTGAAATATTTGTGAGAAAGATAATTATATTTGTTGCGGAATATTATAACATCAATGGAGAATTTGATAAAAAGATATGATTAAAAGTAAAATATTTTTCGTATATATTACATGTTACTTATGATTTGTTTTGGAATGGAAAAAATGGGATGAATCTACGCGAAAAAATAAATTGAAAATGTAGAGTGACGTTTTTTTCATACGTAGCTTCATTTTCAAATAAATCGATGTTGAAGATTCGTGGAGAATCACTTGCGTGCATATGACGTTGCACGTATACTGTGCCAAGATTTTCAAAGACATTTTTCTCGAAAACGAAGCGTCGTACGAAGAAACTTCATTTTACATTTTTGGCTTGTTTTTTGACGAAGAATCACCCTCTGCCTGCTGGTTGTACTGCATTGCAGAGACACTCTGTATAGGACTATCTATTATTCGCGGATTTTCGTTTCGTACCGTTTCTTTGAAGCCGGTGCCGTTTCCTTAATGGGGCCGGGGTTCATGGGAAAAAGACGTTTCTCGGGCATCTCGTGATCGTTCTTCGAGGAACTGGCGGTCTTTGAATAGTGTGCAATTCCTACAAAAGCACGAGGAACTTTGGTTGAGTATCTAAAGTAACGCGAGTTGCTTGTTTCGTGTTACTTTAGAAAATGCATTATTTTTTTTTTTTTTGGTCGTTGAAACGAGAAAAACTTCGTATTTGGTAGGTACAGTGACTGGAAAAAGTATTTGCATATATCCTTATTCTCCAACGAAATGCTTTTTCGTAATGTTCTATATCTCATTTTTATATTATTCAAATTTTTATCACCGTTTTATGATACTTGGCACTACTGTATCTTATATACAAATGCTATATGATAAATACAATAACGAGAGATTACTTTTTGCAACCATTCTACAATAAATTTTTGCAATGATTTTCATATATATATATATGGGAATATAAAATAATTTTATTTTATTAGGCTAATTGTAAGAGAAGATATATTTTCGATATATTTTCAATGATAAAATAGACCTCTGGTGATTTCATTTGTTTTCGACTGTTCATTTGCTTATGCTTGCCAAATAGGATATTTGTTCCATTGGTTTTAAAAATTTTATCTATTTTTCAAAGATCGATTGTACTCGATTTCAATACTTGTATAGTAAATATTTTATAACTGCAGGAAATACGAAATTAAAGCTTTTGCAGTTATCCAACAAAGGTATTGATTCTTCTATTGCTTGGCCAGACGTTGGAAGTTTGTTTACGTTTTTTGCTAAACGTATTGAGAGAAAAAGATAAAGAATAAAAATGCAACGGTAAAATTTTTGTATTTTTAAAATTTTTTTTTCTCAATTTCAGTCAATGTATTTAAAATGAAACCAGATACACGATATAATTGGAATTATAATTATTTATTTAATAGACAAGGAAAATTATTGAAAATTAAATATTAAAATTTGAGGAAATTATATCGCGTTTGATTTCATTTTATTCAGAGAAACCTCGCAAATACAAAATTTCATTAAAAAAATTAAAACAAATAAATTCTTCTATCGTTGTATTAGTATTTTTTTTACAGATATCATGATATTTGATATCAGATTAAATTACCTTTGTTCATACATTATATTATTATGTTCATTTAAAGAAATTATTATGTTCAATTAAAGAGAATTTATAGTGTACTTTTAGTTTAATATTAAAAGTGCAAAAAGAAAAAAAAAGTTTTTCAATTTTTAGATAACATGAATCTTAATCTTGTAAAAAATATCTTTCATTTTACTTTGTTTTTATTAATTTCTTAGAAGAAGAAAATGAAAATCAAGTTCAAATGGAAAATTAAAAATATAGTATCATTTTCAAAAATGAGAATTCTTTTTTAAAAATGTTATTTACAGTTTTAATTTTTTAAATAATGATATATACTATATATATAGTAACATAAAATATTCTATTTATAATATTCGAGCTTGAGAAAAATTTTCACTACAAAATTTAATCATAGTAACGATTAATGTTACATTCATGCACAAAAAAAATTTCTCATTACAAATTTTAAGCGACGGTGACAATTCTAAGCGCTCAGCATCTCAATATTTCCAACATTTATTCCATGGAAAAATTTTTTATCTAGGCAGTAACAATTCTACTCGTTACTTCGTACAAAAAAATTTTCATCGTTTTAAAATTTAAGCATAATTTATGATAATTCTACTCAACATTTCAAAACCATTTTCCACGCTTGTCCACAAAGAAATTTTTTATCCCCAAAATTTAAGCCTAGCCTGACTTAATTTCTTGCACTATTCGTGCGCCATCTGTGTCATAATTATCCTACATCTATAATCAACCAAAACGTTCTCGTTAACAGCGGCAACATTTCCGCCTGAATTAGATCAGAATTTCTCGCTGATTGTCTTAAACTTCGCTTTGTCCTTTCCCTGTTCGATCAATAACCATGTCAATTGGAATTCGGATCCGTCGCGGTTCGGTAAATCGAAAATTCGTCCAACTCGTTCGACATACACTATTCTACTTTCTATTCGCCGACAAATTGATAGTTCTTCCCCTCGATCGTCGTTCCTTTTCATTCTTCCGTGGCGAGAAATCTCGTTGTAACGAGAACAGTCTCGTGCGGTTTGATTTTTCTTATTCTTCTATCTGAATGAGTACAGGGTATACTCATAAAAGAATATAATATATTTGTTTCGTGTTAAATAAATTTTCTTTTATCTCAGATTAATTAATTTTTAAAATATAATTATTTTTTAATAAAAAATAATGATTTTGGTTCAGCATATTAAAATCAAAAGGACGTAAAGTAGAAAATTCTTAAATAGATGTTCAGTAAATATTGTTTAAACATTAAAAATTAAATATATTAAAATATTAAATTGTGTGATTTTCCCCTTAAAATTAAAATAAAGATTAAAATCAAATAAAAATTATTGATACTTTTGTAGATATGTAAATATTTGAATATCAAAATATCAAATGGTCCGATTTTGCTTTAGACTGCATGAAAATTGAAATCAAAGAGGCGAATAAAAAATTATTGATTTTTCTTTTTTTTTAATATTTAAATATTAAATGTATTTATTAGTAAATAATAAATATTGTATGCATATACATATTTACAATTGTGTTTTGTTTCATTTACAATTTATAAATAATATCGATAAATTAATATTCGAGACTTCTATCGTATAAATAATTTTTCATCGTAAAAAAAATTGTTATTGTTTTACCAATAATTTTAATTCGTAATTATTATTATTAATAATTTTTCATCTTGAAATTTGAAATATCTATCTTAAATATCTCGATAATTTACGACGAGGAAAAAGTGTAAAACATTATTTCGTTCGAGGATTTATTAAGATAGAAAAAAGTTTCTATCGTATTCCTCGAAATTTCAAAGTCATTAAACGCTCTTTTAAACGAAATCTACATACCTTTATCACAACGATAAATGACGATAAATTAATCATAAGATTAAGATGAATCGAACGATCTATAATCTTCGCGCGACTTTGAATGCAAAAGAAATTCACAAAAAAAAAAATAGGAAATTTCCAAAAATAAAAAGGGCACTTGTTCTATGACACTCTTTGGATTTGTGGACACTCATAAATTCGATAATTGCAGCGTATCTACCGTGTTGTCCCACGGTTGAATTACGACTACGAGGAATGACATTAATTTCGCGGAGAAACGAATTAATTTCGACGAAACTCGTTTACAGTTTACATCGAGAGGAGAATTGCCTGTTCACGATGCTATGCTATGGTGGTTTAATCCAGCCCAGAAATTCTTAAACCGAGAACACCTGGGTATCCATGATTTTTTTTTTCAGACTTGAGAACTTGATTCGTTGTTCAATCCTTGTATCAATATCAGCATACATTTGAAACTAATATTAATAGGAAAAGTTGTCTTTTTTTTTTTTTATCGATTTAAAATATTTACGATAAATTCATCACGGAGTTATTAAATAAATTTGCATTAAAATAATGCATTTATGCTTATCAGATGTTTGTTGACTTTTTCCTCGAAAAATTTCAAATTTAATCAATGGATTGTCATTTATTTGGTACATTAATAACATTTGGACGTTTTAAAATTAACGCGAAACTAAAATGTATTCTTTCGTCGAAAAAATTTCAAATCTAAGTGAATCGTTATTTTCGTATATTGGTTTATTTTGTTTTGATTCTAAATACAGATAATTCTTGTATAACGATACTTACGCAATGCCGTTTTGATGTAACGCCGTTCACAAGTTCTAGCAATCCTCTTATAACGCGGTCGATATAAATTCTAATAATACGGATTGTCCTTGTTTTGCAGTATTGTATACAATTTTAAATTAGAATATAAAGATATATGATTCATCTTCTCAACACTTTTTAAAAAAAAAAAAAAAGTAATAATTTTCATGCAATTTAAAATCTCTTTTTCTATAACGAGATATATATATTTCTGAAACCTAATTTCTCGTGTTATAGGAGAATTATCTCGATATTTTATCATTAAAATGAAAAATTGGAAAATGTCGAAAATTTTGGATATTTTCCATCGTAAGAAAATATATTCCAATAAATCTTCCATTACGATCTACTATTTCTCTTGGTATAATCTCTTGGTATAATATTAAAAATACCGGTTTTCTCAAGGAAAAGAGTATCGATTCAAGTATAAAATTTTATTTACCAGAAAATTAACGAGAAAAATTTTGGTTATTATATATATTTTTCTTTTTTTTTGGTATCATGAAATTCCAAATAAATTCTTTATAATTTCGCTTTCTGGTAAAATACCAGAAAGATAAATATATATATAATAAAAAAAAAAAAATGAAAGCACAACATTATAAGCAGTAGGAGGTTATGGTACTCGAGTTCGAAGCTACACACAAAGGTTTGTCTTATAAAATAGAGCTGCCGAACACAAAGAAGCTATTGAGTGACACTCATCTAAGGAGTGTCCATAAAATTTCTCGTTGAACGAGGTACTCTTTGTGAACAAGATTCCCTCTCGCGTATACCATAACCAACGCTAATTACATTCGCACGATGTAAATCACGATACATATTTTCTCGAGTTTTCTTCCAGACGATAATTAGGATGAAACATTTCCGATATCGTTATCAAAATTCGCAAAACGATGATTGCAATAATAAATTTAGCTTCCGGTTAAAATCTGTTTACAATTAATTTTTAACACCATTTAATTTTACAATCGGATACAATAAATGTATCCGGTTAATTATTGCGAGTAGTTGGAAATATTAATTGAAATTAAAATCTAGAAATAATTTTACTATTTCAATATAATTATTATATAGCATAATTATCTATCAATGAATTATTAATATAATTATTTCGGATTTTGAATGATCCTTAAATTCTTCTAATTCTATCACACGTATTTCCTAACCTCAATTTGATTAAAATTCTTTTTTGTACACTATTTTTTATTACGTATCTATTGAATAAATAAAATAAAACGACAGTTATCGAGTTATTGGAATTCTGTTCTATTCTTTTATCCTCATCGAGTTATAGTCGATTCCTGGGAGAAAATTCTATCCTTCTATCGCTCGAGGATTGAGCTTCGTTAAATTTAACAGAGTACTGTGCTATCACGTTCGAAAAATTGTACGACGTTAAACTAATTAATGCAAGCTTAAAACGCACAGAGTAAAAGAATATTTTGAAAACGAGCCGCTTACAATCGAACGATTCGAGAGAAAATATAAAATACCTGCAACAATAGTTTCGAAGTTTCTTATTGCTTTGAGAAAACATCACGCCATTAAATTGTGAAAGGGGGGGGGGGAGGGAGGGAGATGCAACCTCTCTCTTGTTCCGAGTTGAAATTGATACGCAGTTTTAAATTGGAGAGTTCATTAGCGCGATTATAACCTCGAAATTCTGAAGTTATTTCATATAGTCGATATTGCATTTCCTATTTCGTTTTTATTATCGTTGAAAATAATAGAATTAAAGATCGTGAAATGATTTGAGTTGTAAATTCTTAAAATGTTAATAAAAGAATATTTTAATATCGTCGTATAATAATTTAATGCTGATTTATGTGAAAAATGAAACGTTCATTTGGTACGTTTTGCCAGCGATTGTGAGATTGAAATGTAATATGATTTTCGATATGTCATCTAACTGCAATTATGCATATTATGAGATTGGACATTATTAATCTTGATTGGTTTATGAGAAACTATAAGAATTTTGGAACTTTTGTTACTTTTGTTACAAAAAAATAAAACATTTGAGAAGAAATATTTTACGTAATTTAAAGTTAAAGAGTATTTTAGAAAACAAGGTTAAGTTTAGTGCTGCCATCTATTTAGGATTTGATTAACTTGATTGAAATTTTGAATGTTTTTTAGTACTTTTTTTCAAAACATTTTGAATATTTCATAATCAGTCGTTAAATTAGATTTTATTCTCCATTGATGTTAAATGGAATATCATTATAAGTGTGAAGGAAACAATTATATTGACGTGATATAGTTATAATTGGTCACGGCAAATTAGTTGGTTGCATATTTACGAAAATTTTATTAGAAATTCAAATAATAACTATTTAGGATAATTGTTTCTAAGGTATCGGAAATAAAATAATTTTGAAGTAACATATTGTTTTGAATAACATCATTTCATGTCGGTTAATTATCCAGAGCCAAGTTTGTTTACACATCACTTACTGGTTAATTAAATTTGAAATAGTAATGAAATATTTCAATAATTTATTAATTAATATTTTATATTAATTAGAAATGATAAATTTTATTAATAATTACACATTTAATTAATAACAAAAGATTAGGAAAATAAGATTTATTATTACCATTATCATCCGAAAGATTAAAAGATTGGAAACTTTTTGTTTGTAAGATAATAGCCTTACAGAATCAATGGAATTTAATCATTGATCATTTAAAATCCCTCGAGGATTGATTCGAAGTGATTAAACAAAGTTTAAAAGCTCTATATTTCATTAAAACAATAGTCGTACTTGATATAGTCTCTAACCTTTAAGGCTTAAACTCTTAAAACGTTATCCGAAAATTGACGCATAAAAAATATTAATATATTCGTGAAATATCTTTAAAGATCGAAGCAAATGCAATGCAAAGCATTTACAAAATTTGAGACTTATTTATTAAATTATAAATAGATTGTGAATGTTTATGCAAAATAACGAACACAATTAAAGCTTAAATAAATGCATGCAAAATATCCGCAGTCTGATTAGCAAGCAATTGAAGTTAAATAAAACGACATGGATGTGATAAGATAACTCTATCTTTATCCAACTAATTTAAATTGCTTGCAACCTTGCAAATAATAAGACCGCCATTTATATATATTTTGGTTTCTAAAATTGAATCGATAAAAATGTTCCACGAATATATTTTACACATTCTGTTACACCGAAGCCAAATTTGGTATTATCTGACCTAATAAATTATTTACCGTTTTAACGCACGCTGCCCAACGGTGCAACTCGTTCGTTAATTCGCTTTTGATCATTGGAGCAATTTGATCAACCTCAAATCGTTCGATATTACCCGATTATTAAATTAAATTTTAATTGGGTAAAATAAACGCACGACTCGGCTGGTCGAACAACTTGATCATAAATTGATATAGATCAAGACACCATGTACGAAAATCAAATTTGTCCAAACAAAAAAAAAAAAAAATTAGAACCACTTTTTTGTTTGCAGTCAAGGTCACGCAACGCGACAGCCGTTGAAAGAATAATCCAAGGCGACAGACACGGAGTCACGAAGAAACGCGGGATTGCAAAAGGAGGGGGGCGGAAGAAAGGAGGAGGGGACGAGGCAAAGCGACGAGCGAGCAAGTGGAAGAAGCGGAGAAAAGGGGCGAGAGGGCGCTGCACGACATAAACAACGCGCGATAAAATTTCAGTGGCCAGGAGAGGAGGAGAGGAAGAGAAAGGGAAAAGAAAAAGAAGGGGTAATATGCGGTTAGAGGGGAAGGGGTGCGGGGCCGAAAAAGCCTTGTGAAGAAACTAAGGATTAGATGGTGGAGGTGCTCGAGGGGCGGGCTAGGGAGCCTACGGGGCCGATCAAGGCACCTCGCACCTACCCAGGGCCGGGCAGGCCTGGAAACAGCCTCCTCCAACAGGTCCTCGACGCCGAGAACACAGATCCGCAACTGCGTCCGCGGCTGCGTCCCTCTCACCTCGCTTCCGATGCTCTCTTAAGGCCCCTCGCTCTTCTCCAGACCACCAGTGGCCAGGTATCATCACCGAGGTCCCGATTCTCGTCGAGCGTCGTCGAGGGCAGTGACAACCTCGGCCTCGACGGGCCGGGGATCGAGATCGCCGCGGATCGGTTCGGTGGGGAGGGGCAGGAACGCAGGAGAAGAAGGCGGCGAGAAGAAGGAGGGAGCGACGGGAGTTCGAGCGGATTCGACGACGTGGGACGGGGCTCTGACATTGACAGCGGAAGCGGCGGGGAAGGGGGGCGAGCGGTGAGGCTTGGAAGATTCGAGGATCGGATCGGTGGTGGGTCGAGTGCGGATCGGGCAGAGGGGACAACAAGGTGGTCAGGTGGGAGGATAGAGAGTGGTGGTGGGTAAAAGTGGTGCAGCAGAGGAGGGGAGTGGCCGAGGAGGCAAGGCCTGAGGATCGTGCGGAGCCCGGGAAGGGCTCCTTAGGAGGGAGCGAGACTGGCGAGCGCAATGTGGCAAAGCGGCGGCATGGGCGCCCATGCGGCCAACAATCCATGGATGAAATTAATGGGCATTGTCCACAAGGAGAGAAGGCATCACGATTCGGGCTCTGCCGCTGCCGCCGCTTCCGGTGTTCAGGGCTCTGCGACCACTGGCAGCAACGACCGGACCCTCAATCAGTGAGTTCGCACCATTCTCCTTCCCCCTTTCTCTTTCTAGTTGGTAGCGCGTAGTGGAGGAAACTATTTCCTTTCTTTTTGTTTCTAGCGCGTTGTTATTTTATATCTTTGCCCGAGTTACGAGGTGTATTTTCTTCTACTCGAATGAATTCGTTTGCTCTCTGCGACGGTTTCGACGGTGGTTTTCTTTTTCTTTTCGGGTGGTTGCGTCGATAAGGAATCGGTAATTATTCTGCCAAGTTGATTCAGGCAAGAGTTTTTCAGCATTAAAACGTAATTGTTGTAAAATTTTAAGACATTTGTCTACTGGTCAATCGTAACACGACCAGTTCACATCCACTGACAATTTGTGGGACAATGAATTTTGGGACAGTTTGAGGATAATTGTAAAAGTCTACTATCATGACAAGCAATGCGTATCCACATTCGGTCTAATAATTATATCCACAGATTGTCTCAGAGGATATTTTACTTGGATAATAGATGCAGAGTCATTCCCGCCATTTTTTGAAACAATGCTTGTTTATATATCACGTTAACATCGTTGTGGCCACATTCCACTATCATTACTTCATCAAGTCTTTAGCAATTATAGATATGATCCTTATCAACGAAAAAACGATTGCAAATTGTTAGTGTATTCGCGTTAAGCCCAACTAACGGACGATTGTCCACGGACAAGTCTATCTATTCGCGGACAATGGAAGATAAAATACAAATCCAGGCTCAGTTCACAGGTAAACTACTGAATCGTATTTTAAGGCTTCTCCTCACTGACAGACATTGTCCACAAACAGTCCCTCCACAACAATGTCGTCGGATTATGCAGGTGGACCGTGTACAAATGTATTCATCAGTTATGCATTCATTAGTATTCTATAGGCTCATTTACACTGGCAGACATCGTTCAGGAAGTAGAAGTGAAATATACACGAGTGGCCACAAAAGGTCACTTAATTCTGGTCATACGCAATGATGTTTACAACTACAGTTTCTCGATCACGGTCGGATTACATTAGATTATATTAGATGTACAGGATGTTCGTCCAATTATACTTAAATTATTTCTGATCCAATAAATAAATCGATATTTATCTTCCTGTACCAATCTTTTATATATTTTGCTTCGAATTAAATGATTCCTCCTCCTCGAAAGAAATATATTCGTGAATATATTCAACACAATCGATGCTAACGATTGAATTAAGAGGGAGGCCGCTAGTACTCGGGAGAGTGCGAACAACAGACTTGAAATTCAAAGGGAAAGTATTTATCAGGGAACAAGTAGGTCTCGCGGAGGAGGATTGAATGGAATAACGGAGAAAGCATTGTCGATGGCGATGCTCGTGTTTTCCACGTGTCTCTCGTTTCTTGTTTGCCCCGGTCGCAACTTAAACCCTTCGTAAAAACCAACGAGAGAGAGAGAGAGAAAGAGAGAGAGAGAGAGAGAGAGAGAGAGAAGAAAGAGAAGAGGAAAGAAGAGTAGGAGTGTGGAGTTTTTAATCGTGGCAACACTCGACTGCGCACACCGAGTACCACAGCGATACGATACATCCTATTCGTGCAATGGCGAAGCGGTGTGTGGAATGACGTAGCATATTGTTAGAAGCTGGTGTTGGTGGTGGAAAAAAACGCACGGCAACTCGTCGACTCAGCGCCCGTTGAAAATGAGAAGAGGAAACAAAGAGGTCCGATTTTTGTTGTTGTCCAACGTAGTTTTCAAGGATCAGAATGGATATGTGGAGAGGCTTCAATAGAATCGTCAAAAGATCCTGAAGGAGTTTTCTTTTTTTTTTTTTTTTTTAAACAAACAAACAAAGGTTATCAGCTTTGTTCGGATATATTGGCGATATTCCTTCCTCCATCCACGGATTCACTTTTAACACGGAGAAATATAGTTCCATCGATGGAGACGAGTCCGATAAGGCATGTAGATTGGCGACTCTCGTCGCCAACGTGGAAACGGTGCTTTATCCTCGAGTGCGATCTTTCTTTTTTTCTTTCTTTTTTTTTTTTTTCTTTTTCGCTTGATCGTTTTATGTGTATTGCATGACTGGCCCTCTTTGACCGGATTATGCTAACGGCCAAACGAGCAATCGATACTTATGCGCGTGGAAAACAGAAAAGGGATTTACCCGAAACGGCTGAGCGAAAGTGTAAGAAGAGGAAAATAGAATGAGATGCAGGAAACGTTAGACGGTGATGTTAAGGCTCATTTTATGACATATATTGTTGTGCGAAAAGTACATTTTGTTGGATTGTATATATAGTAACATAAATATGATAACATATTATTTAGAATTCATTATAGAACTATATATCATTATAGTACTATACAGAATGTTGATATTAGGTTGTGCCAAAAGTTAATTTTATCTTTTTATTATACATTGATTTTCATCAGATATATTACAAAATTTTATACACTTTACTGCACACAGAGCGTTTTAAAGTCCATTTCCTTAGAATTTCTATTATTTTATTTTTCTAAAATAATATCCTTTGAATTGTTCTTGTGGTTATTTTGATCTAGAGTCATCTCATTTCAAAGTTTCTCGTGTGTTAATATCCTATATATGTCGATCCATTTCTATTCAAAAATTTTAGTCACGTTCGTGAAGGTAACCTATTATTACGAGCAAGCTTCTTGTTGTTCGTCCAAGTGTTCCCTAAGTGGAGAAGAATAGTGAGGGAGAATAACAGGTTGATCATATCAGGTTTACAAGAGTTTCGGTTGTCTGGACTTTAGAAGAGAGCAAACTTTCCACACGATAACTTGCAATTCTGATATTCTGTAGTGACTAACATTTGTCTATAAGATTACTGTCTATAAGATAATATTAACTGATATTGTATTTTGGTGGTAAATTCATTATAAAAGATTAAAACATTTGAATTTGTCTACAATATCTACATTTTCTCCTTAAATTCAACTTTCTTCAATTTTAATAACTTGACTAGTATATGATAAAAAATTTGAAATTTAAAAATTTTGTTTCATACAGATTTTAAAAATTTATTTATTGCTTATCTTAAATATATTTAAATTTTTACTTTTATTAAAATAATTTTTCTTTTTTTAATAATCATTTAATTAAAAATCAAATTTTCAAATACAATTTTTTCATTCTTGATTTTGTATTATATGAAAAAATATTATTCAGAATATTATCTCTGAAAACTTTACTTCAAAATCATGTTAAAATCTACGAATAATCCCAATCTCACGCATAATGTAAAAATTTTAAGACGATAAAACGAATTGTCTGTATAAAATTTTTATATACGTATCACACGAGTAACACCAATTGAGAACCTCTGGTTCAGAAGAATATTTAACTTATTAATTACGGGATATCCACAGGATATCCATTATATTTCGTGGTCAACAAGGAACATATTTTCCGGGTGTCGGTTTTTAATTAGAATATCGCGATTGCGGTATAATCTTGGCAGAGAAGCGAACCGAAAAGGGGAATATCGTAACAAAGAAGAAACGAGCGTCGAAATTGCCGTCACTCGAGTGTGGCGCTGCCTTCGCCATCCGTGACTCTTTCTCGTTTCCGTGCCATCTTTCTCTCTCGCTCTTTTACCATCGGTATCGCTAGCCAGCCCAGGTCTACTACCATGGTCAATTCTCCTCGTGAATTTGTAAGAACTCGAAAATTACCCGATCGATCGATTCCTTCACGGAGAGGTTCTTAACCCTTATATATAATCCAAAATTATTATCATTTTATTTCTGATTTTAGAATCTTTTAAGGTAAGTAAGATAAGTAAGATTGTAGAGATTGAAGTGTGAATCGTTAATATAGGGTGTTTCATTTAATATATATATATATATAGAAACGTCCGTTCGAAATGAAAATTTATCGAGTGTTAAAAAAGCGCAAGATAATAATTATATATTCTTCTAATATATTTAAATCTTAAAAATAATTAAAATAATCATATGATATGTTTCACCGTGTTAATTTATTACTATCAGTAATTAAACACATAAAATTCTTCAATTCAATAGGAAACCATTTAACTTAAATCGCTTAAGTTGAGTAAAGAGAATAATAAAAAATAAAAATTCTATCATTAAAGAATAATTAATTATTTGTTTTAAATTTATCCCCGTTGTTTCACCGTCACTTCTGAAGAACGTAACTAACGTAAGGATGGATGAGTTACAAATAATCCTGGATTGGCTGCCCTTCGAATATCAAAAAAACGATTATAAATATTAAATTAATTACAAAGAAGAAAAGAGATAATATTACAAATAAAATAATTAATTATAAAGCAATTAATATAATGTTAAGTTCGTGCACCTGTTTATTGTTATTTCGATCGATGCAATTTAATTGTACGATTCTTCTTCTTATTGGAATTCGATATCGGATTCGCAAATTTTGTTTACAAAATACGCGTAAACAATTTCATTTTAATAACGCGATCAGATTTATAAATCTGCTCAATTAAACGTGTGAATCGACTCGTCGAATAATATCCTTTTAGCAGCAAGTTATTCGTAACAATTTTAGAAAGATCGAAGATTATACTGATTATAAAATTAACGCATCCACTTAACGTTATAACGAAAACTAAAATACTATTCAATTATTGCTCAATACCAGCTAGTGATTTTCGAAAGGTGCAAGGAGCATGTGATAAAAATGACGCGAAATTCAAAATGTAAATGGAGGAATTTACTTTTTTACTTCGAAGAGTCTAGATTCTAGATAATATTTTCTTGTTCACAAGCCAATTTCTATATTCAAACCTGTCCCACGAATATATCGAACTCGTATTATAAATGACATCATTTCGAGAAATCACTTGATCAATACCATCTGCCATACTTGTAAAGACACGCTAATGCATCCTCGCACAACTTTCCAACTTCGAATCGTCCATGTTGCCTCGAATACTGGGAGCATCTGGACCGCTAAGATTATATATATATACACACATCTCGTGAAACGATCTTCCTCTCCCGCCACTTGAACATT